TCCCCATAATTTCTCTGAACTCGTATGGCTCCCCTGTGGGAACCCTCCAGGCCCGCCAGTCTGGCTGCTGTCCCTCCACATCTCAGGAATGCTCCCACCTTGGCACTTGGTTGTTTCCATTGCCTGAAATGCTCACCCACCAGGATGCCCGTACAGCCAGCTCCCTCAGAGTCACCTTTTGGGTGGAACCTGCCTGGACCTCCCAGGCTTCCCACTCCCCCTCCCTCTGCTCTGTCTTTCCCTCCATAGCACTTTTCACCTTCTACCGTATGGTAAGGTTTATGTTTTCAAGTAAACCTCCCCTCACTGGACGTCAGCTCCACAGGAGCTGGAATCTTTATCTTGTTCAGGGATATTCTCAGCAACCAGGACCAAGCCTGACAGAACCATGCTCCGTAGACACCTATTCAGTGATTATCTGGCAAAGGCCTTCCAGGCAGGGGACCAGAGGTTGCCAGGGTCCTGCCACGTTCTAGCAGGGTCAGGGTCCATCAGTCTGTCCACGGGGCAGACCTACTGGCCAGGCTGCAGCGCCTGCCCCCCATTTTTGAGCAGCCCTCATTTCATGTGCAGGGTGACATCTATGGCCTGGCCCAGGTGGAGCAGCAGGACGCTGATCACAGCCCAGCAAACCCCAGCCCAGCCGCCCGCCACGTCTCCTCCATTTATCCAGACAGGCCCGCTACACAGAGATAAACACACAGCCCTGATCCAAAGAGAGATAAACTGACCTCTGCACACCTCCCGCTGCCCTTGCAGACACAATCAGAGAAAAAGGCTTGGGCCGCAAAGCTGCTGCCAGCCAGCAATGGAAACGGGTGGCGATCCGACCCGAGACCGTGGCCAGGCTTCCGTCCTCTCGCCTGCAGCCCCCAGGGTCCTGCGGTCTGTCTGCCGGTTTCTTCTCTTCTTTCCCTAAATGTGTATTCGCCTCTTTCTGTTCTGCTTCTCCATTGTCCCTACTCTCCGTAGCCCCCGCGCAGGTCTCTGTCTGTCTTCACAGAGTCTCTCTGGAGCTGGGTCTCTGCCTCACTGTGTTTTCCTCCAGGATTCTGTGGGGCCCCTTCCTCTGGCCCTCTCTAATCTTTACCCTCCTCCTCCATTCCACCTCTTCCTTTTTCATAGCCTCTCTTTCTGTTTTCCTCTCCCTCCGAGTCCTCCCCTGGCTCATGACCCCCATCCTGGCTTCTTCTCTTGGCTTCTGGCCTTTGGGAGCGACGTGCTGCCTCCCTTCACCATGTCCACCGGGAAGTCCTGCACCTCTTCCCTCTCACCCTACAATTAGGACTTCTGTCCATGACTTGGTATGCAGTCTGAGCAGAGCCTGCTGCCAGTCCCTGCCTCCTCTACCAAAGCTCTGGTCCACCCACTGGGGGTGACGTGTCTCAGCCCCACTGCCTTGGCTTCCCCGGTGGCCCATGGCCTTTGCCAGGACCTGGGATTTTTGCCCTTTCTCTGGCACTATCCCCGCAGCTGGGTCTAAGGCCCAAGGCTGGCTCCTGGAGAAAGCTCCATCCAAATCACAAATCCTTCTCTGCTGCTCCCTCCCACTGACCATGAGTTTTCCATTCCTGGGCACTCCAAACTGATTCCTTGTCAGATGTAAGTCCTGCCCATCTTTCTCTTTATAGCCAGCGTGTCGGATAACTTTATAAAACTTAGCACCAGCCTCTGGTTTATTGGCCACAGTAGGGCCAGTTTTAAATCTGGCTTCCTTGCTGGCCCTCCGTTTTCTCAGCCAGTGAATGTTCACCCCACTACCCCATGAGAGAGAAACCACGGGGCCCTGGAGGGGTCCTTTGCCTCTGGGGGTTTTGTTTCAGTTGGAAATATCAAGTACTTGAAGGCAGCATGCAGTTCTGGCTGGATCCCAGATGAGGTTGGGGAGATGTGTATTTTTCTCTCCTCTCTCCCCTTCGTCTCTTCTTCCTTCTTAGTATGACCACTCCTAAATTGTTCTCTTTTTTTTGTCATTCTCCCCTTCTGGCCCTGGAGACAATCTTCCCCTCCCTCCTCACCCCCGCCTGCCAAAAGGGTATTTTCATCGAAGGTTGTTGACTACACAAATGAGCTCATGTCCACGAAGGGGCTTTGTGAGATGGAAAACATGATAACTTGTGGTTTAACAGTGCTTCCCGGCCTCCTTGGACAGAAGAAGCCGCTCTCTAATGCCTGGGCAGTGTTTCTCCTTGGCTCTTACCTCTGACTCCTAGCTGACACCACCCCCACCGAAAGCTCCAGTCTTGCCCCCAGACAGATGTGAGCAGGAGCCTGTTGGCCTCTCTCCCCACATGCCTCCCCATCCCTGGCATCCTCACATGCCCAGAGCTTTCTTCTTAGCTTACTACAGCGTGGCAGGAATTCCTCATAGCACTGTGCCAGGCAGTGTTTACATCTCTGTTGAATGCTGGTGGTGACGGACAGCTCACTACCTTTAGGTGGGAGGCTTAGTGGTCAAGAATATGTGTGTTGGGGTCACAGGGATCCACCGTCTGCTGGTTGTGCCACTTCAGGTACATTTACTTAGCCTCTCTAACTCTCAGTTTTTCTCTTTGTTAAAATGACAAAAAAAAAATACCTTTGTTGGGCTGTTGTGAAAAGATAGGGAGGTAATGCAGCGAAAGTGCTTATCACAGGGCCTGATACTTTGTACCTGCTCAGGAAGTGTTAGCTATTTTATTATTAACTCACAAGGCGGCCTTTGCATGGTTCTGAACTGAAATTGGCCTCCCCATAAATTGAAAAGGCCCTGGTTCTATAGTCTGGAGCTACACAAAAGCCCCTAATCCCTCTTGCATAGGATAACCCTTCAAATGTTTGAAGATGGCTTTCATGGTCCTTCTAAATCTTTTCTCAATTTAGATCTCCCTAGTTTCATCACCTAGTCCTCATATTTTTCATGGTGTCCAGGCCCCTTGCCATCTAGGTCACTGTCCTTTGTACACGCTTGTCAATGCCCTTTCCAAAAATACACCATATGGAAGTGAAGGTGTGACTACGAATCTGGTCTGACCTGCCCAGGGTGCAAATGGGGCTACATTGCCCTTGACCTGGATGCTGAAAACGGTCAAAGCCTCATTAGTGTATGTTGGTGTGTCTGTTTGTGGACTGGTTGGCGGGGTGACCTGTGATCAACTGAAAACTCTGGATTTTCACATGAACCTCTCAAGCCCACCCTCCAGACCTACTGAATTAGTTTTTTATTTGTCTGTTTTTGATGGGGGGAAGGGGTAACTAGGTTTCTTTCTTTCTTTCTTCCTTTCTCTCTTTCTTTCTCCCTTCCTTCCTTCCTTCCTTCCTCCCTTCCTTTCTTTCTTTCTATGGCCCTTACTAGGGATTGAACCCAGGACCTCGTGCATGCTAAGCACACACTCTACCACTGGGCTATACCCTTACCCCTTGCTGAATTAATTTTTGAACTAATGCAGGATGGATGTTGTGTCTGATCAGTTGCACTGTATTTATTTTGACCCCTACTGTAGGTCGAAGATCTATTTTTAACTTCATTATTTGAATAGATATTACACTTCCATATTTAGAAATGAAAAATTTTGACAGTATAAACTGTGAAAAGTTCTAGGCCATTCCATCTGCCCAGTCTTCTCTCTCCCCACACAGACAGTGACCACGTTCTTTGTTTCTTATGTGTCCCTCTGGAGTTTCTCTAGGCAGGTACTAGCCAATACCAATAATGGTTCTTATATTTCACCTGCTTTTTACACAAATGGTAGCGTATGGGAAGCACTGCTCTAAAACTTGCTTTTTCACCCAGTAATGTCTGGGATCTTTTTGACTCTTCAGTCTTCCATCTGACATAGTTTCACATCTACCAGACTTGTGAGATTTGTACATAAAGTAAGCACGTATCGATGTCTTTATCCAAGCTGTTGATAGAATCTGTGTATGGAGCCTGGAGACCTGTCACCATGGACTTGCCACAGGCTGATGCCCATCCATAAATCAATGCTGCTGTCCACAGTCTTCTGCTGGTACAGCTAACGAGGCTGATTCTCAGCCCATTTTCTCCTCCTTCTTCTCAAGGATAACGCACAAATATGTCAAATACCTCACTAAAGAACTGGGTATATAGAAGCTTCCTGAGTTATCAGTCTAGAACAGTGGTTCTCAACTAGGAAAGATTTTTCCCTAGGGGACATTTGGCAATGTCTGGAGACTCTTGGCTGTCATAACCGAGTGTGTAGGGAGAGAGGGGGAGCCAGGGCTTCCCCTGGCATCCCCTGGGTAGAGGCCAAGATGCAGCTAAACGTTGTACAATGCACAGGGCGGCCCGCAGGCTCCCACCCTCACGCAGCAAAGAATTATCAGGTCTAAATGTCAGTAGCGCCAAGGTTGAGAAACCCTGATCTAAAACCTTACCAAAATAAAATAAAAAAAAACTTTTTAAAGATTGATTTGGTGTTACCTGGTTTTGAGAAATCCTTGCTGGTTCTTAATAATCACCCCTTTTCAAAGTTACATTAACATAAATTTATTTTGGCAAGAGAAGATCCTCTGATCGAGTGATAAACATCATCTAGACTCTCCTGTCTCATGGAGAGAGTCCCCAGATTTGAGGCACTGCTCCTCTCATGGGGGATGAGTTCTTCCAGGGGTGCCCTCCTCCATGGAGGTATCTCAGCGTGGGAGCTTCCTCTCTAGTGATTTCTGTCCTCTTCCCAGGACTGCTCACGTTCCTGGTGATGACTTCAGTTCTGGCTTCTCTCCCTCCCCTGCCCCCGCCCCCAGCCCCAGCCAGGAATCGCACAGAATCTGTGGAACATTAGGAAGTCATAGGGCTTAGGGGCAGTTCGATGACTTGACCAAGGTCTTTCCCTCTTTAAATGTGCCCATGTCCCACTTAGGGAGATGTCCAGGTCCCCAAATGAACATCTCAAAAACCTTGACAAATAGAAAAACAAATAAATAAAACATTTCCCACACCTCTTTAGAGGAATAAGTCTAAAAAAGATTGAACTGAAGGTTCAAAGGAGTTGTTGCTGTCCAACAGGGCTGCCAGCCATGCACGGTCCATCTTCATACTCACTGAGCTCCTGCCGTATCCAAAATTCGTTCAGGGATAAAGAAAGCATGGACCCAGCCCCTGAAGAACTTATAAGAAGCAGCCTGTATAGTGCCAAAGCATCACCTTGGGACAGCTCTGCATCCAGATCCCACAGAGATGGTGAGAACTGTGTTGATTAGACCTGGCACTCAAGGCCTTGAAGTGTCAGTTTCTCCTCCATAAGAATGGAGAGGGCAATAGCCATCTCATGTTCATGAAAACAGAATGAGAATAAACATCTGAAATGCCTCATGCATGTCATAAGAAGCCAACGTTGTAGTTATTATTGAATACTCTGTCCTAGTACAGATATGATACATGCAGAATCTGATAAACACTAAAAAAACAAAAAAAAAAACACACCCAAAGGACTGTAGACGCATAAAGGAAGAGTCACTGAAGTAGCTGAAAGTGCTGTGAAGACCTGGCTTTGAATCCCTCCTCTGTCACTCAGGAGCTGTGTAAACGTGGATGCTTCGCTTCATTTCTCTAAGCCTCTGCTTTTTCATCTAGAAAGTGGAGATAATAGGACCTCCTTAAACAGCAATAAGTATTAAATAAATGCTTGTTGAGTCCGCGGTTGAGTTTCAACCAGGGAGACTTCTTAAAATAGGTGGTGTTTGAGCCGAGCCCTGAGGAATGAGGAGGTTGTTCATAAGGGCAAAAAGGACCAAGAAGACCTCTCAGGGTGAGGAAAGAGCTGAGTGAAGTTCATGAACGATCACGAATGTGTGTGGAACTCTCCAGGGAGTTACGAGCAGAAGCCTGGGGTATCACACAGACCTTGGTAAGTCCTCGAACTGCTCTAAGCCTCAGTTTCTCCATCTGTAAAAACTAACCTGCAAGGTGGATATGGGTGTTCAGTGAGTAGCGTATGAAAGCCTTTAGCTCAGGGCCAGGCACGTGGTAAGCGCTTAATGGATATTCTCTGGTAGATCTGTGGCTCCGGGCTTGATCTTGGCTGGAAGGCCCAGATGGGCCAGTCCTCCAGGGCCTTGTGTGCCAGGTCAACGAGGAGGCCAGTTGTTTGGGCAACAGGAAGCCACTCCCAGCTTTGGAAGAGAGTGATGTGACAGAGTTTTAGGCTAACTCCGGGCGGCGATTGGAGGGTAGGTGGGCAAGGGGAGCGCCTAGAGGCTGGGAGACCAGTTGGCTCAGAAAGCTGGGCTGCAGTTTAGTTTTTATCATGTTTTCACTTTGGACTCTGGAGCAAGACCCCGAGATCCAGTCAGGCCCCAGACTCACCGCTGGGCCGGGCTGAGGTCTCGGGGGGGAAATGAAGAGTTCCGGCCCCTCCCTGCCGGACTCCCTTCCACCACCCTCACCAGCCTCCCGGTGACAGCTGCGACTCCCACCCCCAGTCCCTGTTTGGAGCAGTGATTAATACAGGTTTAAAATAATCTTTGTCTTCTCCCTTTGTCCGCCCCCAGCACAGCCGCTGCTCTCTTCCCATCCCCCCACCCTCCACCGGACACGCCTCAGAAACCAGCCTCAGGGCAGCTTGGGCCTGGGGCACTGCCTCCCCACGCACACTCGGGACCGGAGCAGACAAAACGCACTTTCCCTTCCAGGCTTCTCCGAGGCCCCGGACCCCGCAGTGCTCTCTTCCCTGGGGTTCTGGGCCCGGGGCAGGGAGAGGCTAGCAGTAGACAGTGGCCCTCCTCACTAACACTGACCTCCAGCAGCACAGGGACCCTGCTTGATGCACAAACTGGATGCAGGTGGCCCTGCCTCATTCTAGTCAACACTTTCCCCAAACACATGTGGAGCTCTTCATGCCTCAGTTCCTCTGGCTGCTTTTCCTTCCCAAAGAACTTTTTCTTTTTTTCATTTCCTCATGGATGCTCCTAAATTGGGGCATGGATAATATTATCCCATTAAACTGATGGAGAAAACCAAGCCTTGGAGAGGCTAAGCGGCTTCCCCAAAAGTCAGAGCCAGAAACGGAGTGTAAGAACCAGCTTCAAAGCAGCACCTAGTCTGTCCTGAAGAGGCCACCCCCCCCGCCTCCCCACCGAAGCTGCTGGGTCCCCATTCCTAGTCCGTCGGCCCCCAGGGCACCAGTGACCGTCCTCACACCCCTCCACTCCCTGGAGTAAACCTGATAATTAATAGACACTTGCCCCCTTGGAGCCAGGTGACTCCAGGCTAGCACAGTGCTTTTGTCTGGCCCCAGCCACGATGGTTAGGCTCAGGGGAGGACATGTGGGCACGGATAAGGCAAAACAGCAGATCGTGAATCAAAATGCATGTTAATGCAATGTCCAGTTGTGGGGTATTACAGTTCGAAGGGGTGCAAAGCTATCTAGTGTGCCTCTCTTATTTTCCAGAGAGGGAAGCTGAGTGGGAGGGACCTCTCAGAGCCACACAGCTGCAGGATGGTGGGGTGACCGCCAGGGCCCTGCCCTCTGTCCTTTCGCAGGAGCCACCCTGGATGGCTACTGTGTCGCAGGAAGTGAAGAGGCTGCCACCACCGTTTCTCCTTCTGGTGACAGTGAAGGTGACGGCATAAAGAGAATTCGTTTTCCCCGGCACAAGCAGCCAGAGTCAGAGAGGGTTAGGAAAGAAGGAAACACATCAGGTGACAGGGGAAGCTGGCCCGGAGTTAAACCTGAGAAACCAGAGGAGAAAAGCTGTGTGCTGGCAGCTGGTGGGGACTTGAGCTGGCACAGCCTCGGGCAGGTGCTCACTTGGCTGCCGGGCTGAACTGTGCATCTCAGAGCATAAAAGGCACTTTCTCTGCTCTGTCTGGTGGGAGAGCCGATGAGCTCACGCCTGTGCTCAGACAGAGCTGACAAATACCGAGTTAATCCCAGATCGCTTGCTCGGGATTAAAAAAAAAAAAAAAGATGGAGGTAGGGAAATGTGTCACTTTGAGGAGGAAAGGGAGACAGAAGTATGTTTGATGGCCTGGATGGAGTCAGGCTAAATATTTAATGTTCTTGACAGAGACCTGGAGGGGGCTGTTTCGTTCTCTAAACAGTGACACACAAGGCTCCCGGGCTGGGAGACAGAGGAGCCGGCAGCTGGAGAGCTGCTTCCAGCTGCCTCTTAGGGGAAAGGCAGGAGAGAGAGGAGTCTGCATGAACGATGCAGCAGAGGATGTGGGAGCAAAGGGCCAGTACAGCCGGAGGCTGGGGGGGGGTGGGGGCCAGGACCAACCCAGAGCTCCCTTTATTAAAGAAATAACGGTTCATTCTTTACATTTGGAATAAAAACCTATTGTAATTACCTAGCAGTGGGAAAGCAATTTCCAAGCAGCTTTATTGTTCTGCTCCCCAACCAAATGTGCAACGAAACATCCACCCGGGAATAGCAGGAGCGAAGACACACGGCAGTAACTATGATATTTAAATGTTTCTACGGTAGAAATTTCAATAAGGTTTAAATGAACCATAAATTGATTTCTCTCTGGATTATTTTTTTCTCCTCCTCCTTTATTACTTAAGACATTGTGCTCCGACACTGCATTTCTATGGCACTAGCAAAGAAGTCCCAGCAGGAAACTGCAAAACTTTGTTACCGTTCTGAGCACCTCTCTCCCAATCCATGCCCCAGAGGAGGTGGGCACCTTCTATCCACGTGAGACATTACCTGGGTTAGCCTGAGGCCACGGGATCTCACCTCAGATCCCAAAGGTGCCCTGGGTTGATTTCACCCAGGCTGCCAAGCTCTCCTCGAGCCCTCACGTCCTCTGTTACACCTTCTGCAGTAGTGGTTGATATTTTATAACCCAGTAAGAGTAGATAAGCCTCCTTCACTCAATTTGTTAGTCCTTGATGATTAAGACCACATCTCCAGTATCCCCTTGCTGAGTCTAGGTTGAGCTGAGATCCTGGCAGTGGGTAATGTCTGAAATCAGAATGTTTGGCATCTTCCTATATCGCTGTTCTAAGTATAATTCTTTGAATACTGGGCAAATTCTAGGCTTAGAGGGGGACACAAAGAGGGGTAAATTATTCCGCCAACCTATAAACACCTAATAATAGCTGAAATGTATATAGTGCTACTATATGCCAGCCAATTTACTAAGCTATATGTATGTATATATTCATCTGTGTATATATATGTATATATCCAAATATATCCAAATATATGTGTATATATATTCATTTAATCCTCACAACAACTTTAAGAGTGGTTACTACTACAATCATCCCAGTTTTCAGATGAGGAAACTGAGGTACAAGGAACTTGAGTAACTCACCTAAGATCTCATAGGGATGAATGTCACCTGGGATTGACCCAGACAGATTAGCTCCAGGACAAGAGCACACCCTTTTTTACTACTGTGCTTTGCCAGCCTGCCTCTCGAGTCACCTCCTCAGGTCTGCATTGCAGAAGCATTGGCCTCCCTTAGAATAAAAGTATTTGGAATCTTCTTGATAGGTCAACACTGGAATAAATGAGTGGGGATGCTGGTGGTGGTGCCTTCCTCGGAGACCTTGAGGAACTGCAGAGATCATGCGTCCAGTTGAGAACTCTTCCACTTGGAGGCAGGAAACTGTTGAAGACAGCCCCTTTGAATTCAACTGTTGTCTTTCCCAGACTATGCTCTGCATCTGGACACCCAAGCAAGCATCTCTCTGCAAGGCTGAGATAAAGCATGTTCAAACTTTCATACCATATGGTTCTTTTCAGCCCTGTAGCACATACAGAACTGGGGAAGAATGAAGAACTCTGCACGTGATCTCTAATTTCAAGCTTTGAAAAGCAAGCCATATCTAGGAATATTTGGCCAAGGAAGTGCCTTCCTGCGGAGTTTCCTGCTCAAGGCGATATTTCAGGGGCCATTAGAGTAAGCTCTGGAAGCTGAGAAGCCAGCATGCAAATGCATTGACTCAGAACCTTCCGTCACAGGCAGAAACCCAACCCACCAAACTCCAAGCCAGGTCCCCACCAATGAATATGTATGGTGCCTGTATTAGTCAGAGTTCTCTGGAGAAACGGAACCAAAAGGAGATAGATATTTCATGTAAGGCATTGGCTCACACCATTCCAGAGGCTGAGAAGTCCCAAGATCTGCAGTTAGCAAACTGGAGACCCGGGAGAGCCAATGTGTAGTTCCAGTCTTGAGTCCAGAGGCCTGAGAACCAGGAGAGCTGATGGTAAAAGTTCAAGTAGAGTCGATGTTTCAGTTGGAGTCCAAAGGCTGGAAAAGACCCATGTCTCAGCTCAAGCCAGCCAGCAGGAATTTCCCTGTCATTTGTGGGAGGATCAGCCTTTCTGTTCTATTCAGGTCTTCAACTGGTTGGATAAGAGCCACCCATGTTAGGGAGGGCAGTCTGCTTTACTCAGTCTACCAATCACTCGTTCATCTCTTCCAAAAACACCCCCTGCAGACTCACCCAGCATAACGTTTGACCAAATATCTGGGCACCCCATGGTCCAGTCAAATTGACACACAAAATTAACCATCACAGTGCCCCTGCCTTCTCTACCCTTTGCCCTCCAACTGCTGCTCTCGAAGATTGGAATATGGGCAAAATGCTTAGCATCCCGTTAGCTCCACTAATGAGGCTGCCTTTTCTGCTGGCCTCCTAAATCTGTCGCCTTCAGCAGGTGGCTGTGCAGGTTAAAGCACCAGTACATGACAAGGGCAGTGCCTGTCTCCACTCCTTACCCCCTCCTTTTCCTCCCCAGACCCCAGGCTACCAGAGAATGGAGCAGAGAAGCCAGAGATAGGGAGAAGGGCGCACACATGAGTCCTGTCTTGTCTGTGGCCTTGGACTGCAGCCCTGGGCGCCCCGGATGGGCAGATGCTGGGGTGGAAGCAGAGACCCCATGTCTCCCCTTTGCTCAGCATCTGAGCTCATGCTGACTAGAAGCCTCGTATCTTATTAGGCATAATAAGGCCATATTGTGGCTGGCAGGAGGGAAGCTCATTTCACACTCTAGGGAACTGGATTCGGCGAAGAGACAGGAAGAGGTTTCACGTACACGCTTCTCTGCCTGCTAGTCTGAAAGTTGGCAGTGGCAACAAGCCAGAGGAGATAAGCACAAACTTCCCTTCCCAGTAACCCAGAGGCGAGGTAGCGCTGAGGCTCATCTGGGGACTTTTGTCCCAAGTGCCTAACACCTTAGCCTCCATCTACCAGTGTGACCTTGGGCAAGTCACTTAACCTTTCCTTGATGCAGGTTCCTCATTAAAAAAAAAATGAGAATAAAATAACACCCCCTCCATAAGATTGTTTTGTGAGGATTAAATGAATTTAAATGTATGTATACATATGTATATGGCTTAAAAAAATGCCTGGTTCTTGGTGGAGCCCCAGTACATGTTAGCTATTAGCTATTATTAATACCCATCAGATTTTTGCTTCTTGAGATTTGGAGACTCAGTTTTCTGCTAGTGGAATACCCACAACAAACTGAAAGTTCTAGGTTGGCCCCTGCGCAACCCAATGTGTGCCCTGGGGAGGTGAACTTACTCTAAGAAGAAGGTCAAGAGCTCTTTCCCACGGCCCCCACTATATGTCATGAGGCTGAGAGTCAACAGCCATGGGCTTGGTGAGTTTGGGGATAATATATAAGATCCTCCATTATCACGGCTATCTCCTGGTGTGGATACTTGAAGAGTGGTTGTGGATCTTTGATACGTAAGCTAGCCTCTATCTGTTGCTTCCTCCTAATTCCCAACTCTCTCCATGCCCCTCCCAGCCCCGAAGCCCTGTGTAATCTGTCTCCGCCCTTCCTCTCTTGTTAGGATCATGTCAGAAGTGAATGATCTACTCCACTCCTAAAAGCAACTCAAAGTGCCTTCTCCCTGCCTCCCCATCCCCAGGCCCCACCCCTACTTCTCAAGTGTGTGCACATAAGTATACAAGAGCTGAAAATGTTGAGGACTCTGGTCTGATGGAGTTTCAAGTATTTGGGGGGATATAGGCACATATTCATATATTCATTTATATAGAGAAACCCCTTCCCAACTCCACTAGAGATCAGGAATGCTCTAAACAAAGATAGTTTGTAGGTTGAGCACACTGCCTGGCACATAGTAGGTACTTTTCTAAATGCATTTGAATGAATGAGTGAATGAATGAATGATGGAGCTCTGAGACAGGATCCCACTCAGTCCATGTGGATGTGGTGCCATCCCACCTGGAGATGGAAAGATGGCGGGGATCCCTGGGAGCCAGGCTGGATGGGGAAGTCAGGACCAAGGAAGGGCTCTCCTCATCTTTATCTGCCCCCCCCACTTCCAGGCAGAAAACACAGCTCCCACTCTTTCTCCT